CCAGCTAAAAGGAGAAGTTAGGCTTAGAAACCGTACTCTGTTTTAACTATCAAATAGAACACCAGACGCTGGCTGATAAAATTCCTCAGTTTCCAAGTGTTTTTTAAACTAAATCCTTAAGAGACTCTAACGAATGTGGATATGGTGGGATTTTTATTTTTTTATTTTTTTGGTTAAAATATCATATTTTTTTTGTAGTTTTCTTGATTTAAACACGTTTGCATAATTCAATTAAATCTAACTCTATGTTTTTAGGCTTCTTTCTGCTAAAGAATGTAGCTGATTTGTGTGAATTGCATTCCGCTCTCCTGAAATCGGGAACCCTGTTAAGTAGATAGAAGCTGCCATGTGCTTCACGTACGTCAATGCTGTACAGACCTGAAAGAGTCGATACATCTTTTTTTTTTTTGAAAAAGATAATTTACCCCGGTCTGGCTGGTGGTAAATTCGTGTTTATATTGCGTTTTTCTCGAGTGGAGTCTATCTAATCCTCACAGAAATCCCCATGACAAAAGCATTTCTCATTTTATGGATGAGGAAACTGTTATAGAAAAGCGAGTTATCCAGAGTCACCCAGAGAATCAGGAATGTAAGGATTAGAGCTCTCTATTCGGTACCCAGCACTGGTAACTCACCACATCCCTTAACCCTTGTCCATAAAATGTATTTTCTAGATGAATTAATCCCAATAAAAAATTCCCTGCAGCCGAGCAGGACACTGAGAGAGGAGAGGCTTCCTTGATCCCACACAGCACCAAAGCCACCTTAGATGGATCTCTATTCTTTTATGTTTGTGGATTTGTTCATTTCTTTACTTGTGATGAGGTATCTTAAAGTAAAAAAATCTGGCTAAATATAAAAAACCCTTTGGGACTTTATTACACATGAAGGACCTCTAATCTCTGACCCGATGGAAGGACCCCATCCCACCTCCCTTAGCACAGGCCCCAGCTTCCGCCGGTATACCTCCAGCAACGGGGCTCTCACTACCTCGCAAAGCCAGATGTCTCACTCTTGGACAAGTTTAATTGTTAGAATGTTGGAGGTTTTGTTTGTTTGTTTGTTCATTTTGTAAATCCCATTGATGCATCCTTCTTCTGCCTTCTGGAATATATGAAATAAGTCTATTTTCTTTGCTATGTAACAGCCCTTCAAAGAATTTGAAATAACTGCTAGGTCATTAGTTAGTCTTCAATACTGTAGCTCAAGAACCTAAGTTCACTAACCAGTCCTCATTGGGATAGTTTCCAGAACTCTCACCAGCTCTGATTCCTTCTCCTCTGGATTTTTTATAGATTGCATGAGCCCTTCTTAATATAAAGTACTCCATTTCTCTATTCTGTGATATTTTAGGGCCCTCTTTCACATTCCGTTTTATATGCAGTGCTATGATGTTTGTCAACTTCTTCCATGTCATTTGACAATCTATAAAGAAATAGTAAAATTTCAAGACTAATCAAAGTATTATAATTAAAACTATTATGAGAACATTACATATTCTAGCAACTGCAAAATTAACCACAAGCTGATTCAAAAATACCATCTTGGGTGCCAGAAAATAGTCATTAATCATACACTTCTTAAAACTGTGTTATTCATTGTTTTAACTCCAAACATTCATTCATTAAGATGAAATAATAGTATCATTTATGCATTTGATCAAAGTACTTGGACTCAGTCTTTATTAATTCATCTAATATCTAGTTACTCAGGTATGGTTGTTATCTAATGAAAGGAGATAGGAGGTTTGTTTTTGAGACAGAGCCCACACTGTATTTGGCGTTTTATGAGTTAGAGACTCAACCAAGTGATATCATTGCCTGCAGCAAACGTTCCAACCAATGAAAGCATTTTCAAGTCTTCTTCTTTTTACATCCAGCCAGAAAAAGCCAATTGAACCAATGCCTGTCTAATTCACAACCTTGTTCCCAAATTAGGCTCTTTCTTTGAATCCCTCCTTTTCAAGCACTTACTTAGTGCCACTGATCAAATGTGGAAAGTGAGTGGCTTCCTGCATCACCTGTCTCTTCCCTTGAAGAAGAGAGCAGACGTTTCACACCGGCGGTGCTCCACGACGCGCTGCCACAAGAGGACCACGCCATTTGGAAATGTGTCACAGAGGCCCAGGGTGCGATGCTGCCAGGCTGAAGAGAGAATCAGCAGGGTGCGTGAAGGGAAAACTCAGTGCTCATTCTTGCGCATACAGTAAAGGCAACCACATCAGAACACTTTGATTCCAGATTTTATTACCTGCCATGGGCACACATCCCAGGGCAGAATTGGACCGAGTGTACTGATATGATCTGGCACTTGCTATACAACGTGTGAAATGCCCAGTCGGCAGAAGGACTTACACTGTTCATTTGGGCAGCTAAAACAGAGGGAATCCTGCCATCCATGTGGGAAGCTGGGGAGAAGTACAATGTGCAGTCGACAAAGCTTCACTCAAATGCCAGAGCAAGATTGGCCCTGCATTTCAGATTTCTCTTTCATGTCGAGGATGATGCAAACAATCTGACCATCTGTTCCCACAAACAAATAGCATTCTGCGTGGAGAAAAAGACACCCAACTGACTATAGTTGACGGTGATCCTTTTGTTTTACGTCCTCATGGGTGTTTTTAAAGTTATTCTTCTGCTTTGAATCCAAGAATGGGCAATAACTGATTTCTCACCTTCATCAACAAGCTCTGATTAGGATTTATTTTGTAATTAAAGTGCTTATCCACAAAGCAAATTAGCCTGTAATTCATTTCTAAATAGCCTAGACTTGTCATAACAGAGGTGGTGTCATTTTAGAAGGGATTGGTAATGTCTTGAGAAGATCTGGTAAGGTGCGAGGATCTACTTAGTGTTCATTTAATCCAAATGTTATGATATTAAAAAATTCCTGGTTAGAATGGAAGAAAAGAACTATTGCAGAACAGTCGGTCCTGTAATTGGCACTAGCAGGAAAGTAGTACTGCAAATGTGATACATATGCTGTAGCTTGAGCAAGCAACAGAAGTGTAGGATGCAACTTACATTCACATGTCTTTATGAGAAATAGTCAATAAAAGCCTCTTGAGAAATACTCTGTTATACAGAATCTGCTTGTTTTATATTCAGGAGGGTTTTTTTCTGATTCTCTCACTCATGTTTCATGCTCTATTTCAATCCTAATTTTCTTTTTTGGGCAGGTGTTCCTGGAAAAATATATGTTTACAAAATGGTTCCTGGCTCTTTTTCAGTCCAGACTCCTTTGAGGGGCTCATGTTAACCCTGGATTCTCTCCGTGTGAAACATGCATGTACAACACACAGTCTCAAGGGCTTTAGCCCTTGAATGAACTGGACGTCCATGGCCAGAGGTTAAGAACACTGCTTTAAAATATCTTACAATAATTGCCCCAGTGTTTATGGATACAGGAAAAGGATTTGGCTGTCGCTTTCTTAGCAATACATGGCACAATGTCAGAGATCTGCAAAATGATTTTTTGGGGGGGTTGGATAAAGAGAAATGGGAAAGTACGGCTTGATCCAAACACATAGGGGAAATAGATCCTTCTCTCTTATTTCTATCAAAAACCTCTCAGTATAAAATGACGTATTGAAAGTGCTATTTTTTGCTCTGAAATCTGTTGGATACTGATAAACTCACTAGTGTACCACATGTGCTTGTATAAAAAGGACCTGTCCTACCACTCTCATAAGATTTCATACACATGGCAATATTTCACCAGAATATGGTCCTTACACACAGACTGTAAGGACATGATTACAGTGAAACTTCTTCATACCCCAAGTAAATTTGGGAATTTGAGGAGGGGGGTCATTTATACATAACAAAAACATGCTTATTACTGTGTTTCCTAACTTCTAGCCAAAATTACTGTAATTCCAAAATAAAGGTAGATAGGAGATGCATAATGGAGAAAACTGTCTTGGGAAATCCAGGGGTTTAAGCTTTCTTATTCATAAATTTTTTAAAGCTGTTAAGTAGTGACTCAATCTTATGATTCCTTTTATTCCTGAAACATATTCCTGCAAAGTTTAGTACATTGAAAGATTTTAGGTGGATCATAGAAATTTTCATATTAAAGAACTTGTATGGTGAAAACTTTGTAAAGTAAGTGATCATCCCTGATTTATTATTTTTGCAAATCCAGATTTTCAATACTGGCTTGGCTTAAGTTTTTTTAAATTATAATGTATTACAATAAAATAAGAGTTATGATTTGGGACTTGATTTCAATTTTCTAAGCACAGTACATCCAATTAAAAATAAATTAGAAACTATGGATAATGAATAACTACTAAATTGTGTTCATTGTATTTCTTTGCTTCTTCTATATTATCTTTTTATATTAAGTAATTTACTTTCATTAAAATCTTCTCTATAATCTAAATATTTACCTGTGACTTGTTTATTCTCTGGGTAAATTACAATAAACTATATTAGTTGGAAATTGTATTTTAGGCTTGAAGGGAAAAATTTAATTTGTGGACTGAAAATGAAGCTAGGACTTATGAATTTGCATTCCTTCTTCAGAAAAGATGTCATAGCTAACGATGATCAAACCACAAAGATTTTCATTAACAAATTAGAATGCAAAATTCTAAAATAATGTCAGTGACATCATTTCTGCCTATTTTATTTTTCTGAATTTTAGGATGCATCAATTTCAGCCATAAATTATGAATACTTTAGCAGAACCAAAAATGCCTTTTGAATGATGACTCCTTATTAATCTCAGCTTTCTAATATCAAAAAATATATACCATGTGAACTCTTTATTACATAATACACCAACTTAATATATTTTCCAGTAGCCTGAAGATGTCTGCGGGTTAACTCCTCCTGCACCATGTCCTACTTGGTTTAGCAGGAATCCTAGGGGAGATGTCACTGAGAAGACCATTCTGGAAAAACAGGCAGCATCTCTGCAGTTTATGTTGTCCAATATAGCTGTATCAGGAGTGGTATATATTCTTCTACCTGTATGTTGTTTCCTTTCCATAGATAAAAGCTCCGAGAAAAATTCACTCAGAGATGTGCCCACAAACCTGGACCCTAAAAATCTTGAAGAATCAACCAGAATGATGCCAGAGCAGACAGAAATAGGGACTGGGAAAGAAGGCTTGGTCAGGTGAGAACTGAATAAAACACGTAATACTGTTAGAGATACTACTCAGCCTGCACTGAAAAATTCAGACACCTGTTCCCCAGTTTAGCTGAGCAAAGGGCAGGAGAACTACGATACAGTAGTCCCCCCTTATCCGTGGTTTCACTTTCCACAATTTCAGTTACCCTGGTCGACTGTGGTCTGAGATATTACATGGAAAATTCCAGAAATAAACAATTCATAAGTTTTAAATTGCGGACCCTTCTGAGCAGCAAGAAGAAATCTCACGCTGTCCTGCTCCGTCCAGCTGGGGACATGAATCATCACTTTGTCCAGCCTCTCCATGCTGTATATGCTACCTGCCTGTCAGTCACTTAGTAGCTGTCTTGGTTATCTGATCGACTTTCACAGTATCGCAGTGCTTGTGTTCAAGTTAACCTTATTTTACTTAGTAACAGCCCCAAGGCACAGGAGTAGTGGTGCTGGCAATTCAGATACACCAAAGAGAAGCCATAAAGTGCTTCCTTTAAGGGAAAAGGTGAAAGTTCTCAATTTAATAAGGAAAGAAAAAAAATTGTATGCTCAGGTTGCTAAGATCTATGGTAAGAACAAATCTACCTGTGCAATTATGAAGAAGGAAAAAGAAATTAGTGCTGGCTTTGCTGTCACTTCAAATATGCATGTATAGGGCCGGCCCAATGGCTTAGCGGTTAAGTGCGTGTGCTCCGCTACTGGCGGCCCGGGGTTCGGATCCCGGGTGCGCACCAACACACCTCTTCTCCGGCCATGCTGAGGCCGCGTCCCACATACAGCAACTAGAAGGATGTGCAACTATGACATACAACTGTCTACTGGGGCTTTGGGGGAAAAAAAAAAGGAGGAGGATCGGCAACAGATGTTAGCTCAGAGCCAGACTTCCTAAGCAAAAAGAGGAGGATTAGCACGGATGTTAGCTCAGGGCTGATCTTCCTCACACACACACCAAAAAAATACAAATATGCATGTATAGGAAAAAACATGGTATATCTAGGGTTTAGTACTACCCACTGGGTTTCAGGCATCCACTGGGAGTGGATGGCACGTGTCACCCATGGATAAAGGGGGACCACTGTAGTCACATAACACAAGGGAACTGGGCTGGAACTGAAAGGTTGTTTCTGTCCAGTTCATTGTCCCTTACTGGCCAGTCATGACCACTACCCAGGGTCTTCAGGCAGCCATTTGTCTGTAGGCCAAACCACATCAACAGAAACATTGCAGTCACCTGTCGGAGTCATTAATATCGTCAAGGGAACAGCCTCATATTTACTAGGCATGAATTTTAAAAAGAAAGAATCGAAGAGAATGTATGATTCTTCTCCAATTCACAAAGAAATAGCTATTCCAAGTCTGTAAATATTTTATTGTTCCAGAAGATTGATTATTATTTCCTTTCATCTGCTAAAGAAATTGTGGCATGATAACCAAGAATAATTATGGAAAGGGGTAATCTTTATGCCACTGAAGGAATACAGTTTTATAAATACTTCCCACAAAATTATTGGAAATATCACATTAGAGATGGCAATTTCAATGTGAATCAGTGAAACCACAATAAAACCCAACTAGGAGCCCCTTCGTTTTGCCACTTTTTTGCATGTTATTATGTGCCTGCTGATCCAATTTGAATTGCTTAACTATAGTTAATATAATTGCAATAGGCTTATGCAACAATAAAAGCGTACTCTTCTTATTATCAGGCAAGAAGAGTTGTCATTTCAAAAGAAGTTAAAACTACTTCTTCCTCCTCTGATCCCCATCCCCGTGTCTCTCTCAGCAGCTCCTCTGCTGTGTTAAACTGTGTGCTGCCAGAAGGAGTTACCGTGATGCTCTAGGGCCCAGCATATTGTAGATCAAACAACAGGCATCAGAAAGAGAGAGCACATTTTCAATAAGCACAGATTTGGCTGTATATTAAGATAAACACAAACTCACTCTACCACACACAAAAAAAATAGTTTGACAAAAATTAAACCTGACATATTATTTAGGCAGAGAGGAGATGTTTAAAGTCTGAGGTAAAGACTAGAATCTTACGACTGGGGGAAGTAATTATTTATATTATTTCTATAACCATTGGTGTTTACAGAATGATATGCAGTCCTATTAGTGGGTCATTATTGTCTTCCCTCCGCAGGTAAGCAGCCGAGGCACAAAGAGGTTAATTAGTCTGCCTATAGTTATAGGGTCAGCTCAGCCAAGATTAGACTGCGAGACTCAAATTCCTGAGTGGAAATTTTTCTCCCCCCCAATACACTCACCTTTAATCAAAAGTTTCACCTTCTGAGCTAATCTCCCTATACTGCATTTATTTTAGTATATTTAATTTTTTTTAATAACCAGTGGTGAAAGGTGGGTTTTCAAAGGACTGAAGTGGAAGCCATAACTCACATTTTTAGGGATGTATCCCTCTTAATCCATATCCTTTCCTAGTATAGTACTTTTATTCTTCAGAAATATGAAAATGGAAACCTTTCAATTACCCAGAAAATGGGTCAATCAGTATATCTCAAAAACACAAAACTCCTTGACATGACCTACAAGGCCCTACCTGGTCTCCCCCCTTGTTTTTACTTTGCCCTTCCCCAATACACAGCCCTCCCCTACCTTCCCATCTCTCTGCTCCAGTCACACCGGCCCTATCTCAGTCTCTTGTACTCGTGAATTGATTATGCTCTGGAATGATCAATTATTCTTTCTGCGATACAGGCAGCAAAGTGGCTTGAGAATTATTGATGAGCTGGGTAGTTCCAGTGTCACTTTTAACTAATATTCCTGGGAATCCTAATGTTCCAATACCACGTGGGACTTACCAAAGCCTTCCTGTTCTGATTTCAGGGGAATCAGTGGTACCATATCTAGAATCCTAGAGTGCGGAGTTTTTATACCTCACTAGAAAATATCAAAGATAAAATAACTTTCTATTGAAATTGCTATTTTGCAATGCTCTCAATGAGTAACGATCATTTTGGTATTTGCAGTTATTAAAAATCAACAACTTTAACCCTAGGCAAGGTCAGGTTTTTCAAAGCTCTTGCTCCTAGGAAAACATTAAGGATTTGATTGAATGCCATCACTAAATATAGATGCTGTGTGAGTGACTGATTCTCACCTCAATTTTTTGAATTTGGAGAAAGCTACGTTATTAATAAATAAAATTTAAAAGTAGGTTTCTTAATGTAATTGCATTTACCTTATCCTCTGGCCTAAGCCCTGGACTGAATAGGGATTACGTGTCTGGGATGATCAATAAGTATCGGGGAGAATGTATGTTGTAGATTTTGCTGTCTCTGGGTGTGAAGTGCAGCGTGATATTATTGATGATGCGTTTAGTTTCTATCATACTCAGAAGATGGGCACCAAGAGGACTAACAGGAGATACATGCATATACAAAGAGATTTATTGTACAGAATTAGCTCACATGACTGTGGAGGCTGAGTCATCCCAAGATCCCCAGTTGGTGAACTGGAGCGTCGGGAGAGCAATGGTGTAATTCCAGTCTGAGTCAAGGCCTGAGAAGCAGGAGAACTGCCGGTATAGCTGCAGTCTGAAAGCTGGCAGGCTGCAGACCCAGGAAGAGCTTCTGTTTCAGCGTAAATCCAAAGGCAGGAAAAGACCATGTCCCGGATCAAACAACCAGGGAGAAGGAATCCCTCTTACTCGTGGGAGGGTCAGCCTTTTTGTTCTATGCAGGCCTGTAGTTGATGAGAAGAGGGCCACCTACATCAGAGACAGCAATCTGCTTTACTCAGTCTACAGATTCCAATGTTAACCTCATCCAACCACACCGTCACAGACACACCCAGAATCATGTTCAGTCCATACCTGGGCACCCCGTGGCCCAGTCACGTTGACACACAAAATTAGCCATCACACCGTCTCCATCACTCGCACAAGGGAATTGACACTGTACATGCCCTGGTTTTTCCAAGGCTAAAATGCAGTCTCTTCTCACCATTTCACACTGTCCTCCCGTGTCACCTGCAATGTGCTGAATGTCTGTCTCCTCAAAATTCATAAGTTGAAACATTGACCTCCAATGTGATAGTATTAGGAGATGAGGGCCTTTGGGAGGTGATCAGTTCATGAGATTAGTTCCTCAAAAAAGGGACCCTGGGGACTCTCTTGCTCTCTTTCTTCCCTGTGAGGATACAAGAAGCCTGTGAACCAGAAGAGGGCTCTCACCAGAACCCGGTTATGCTGGCACGCTGCTCTCGGACTTCCAACCCCTAGAACTTGAGAAATAAATTTTTGTTGTTTATATGCCACCCAGTGCATAAGTACTTTGTTAGAGCAGCCTGAACTAAGACATCACCCAGCCCAGGCTTACCCAAAACTCTTTCACACAGAATCTCTGTGCCCTTGAGCATAAATAACAATGACCTTCTTCTTCATCTTGCCACAGAACAGAACTTCTAATGTTAATGAATTACAAGGTTGGATATCCTATTTATAAAATGCTCCCTTGTCTCAAATATTGTTTTGTAAGAATATAAGAGTATGGATATATATTTAAGCCAAATTCACATATTATGTCTATTTAGCTATTTATATAAACACAAAAAGAAGAGGTGAGTAAAGTTTACATTATTATTATGAAGATGTAAATTTCATGACACAAAAATCACTTCTGTAACTTTTTTTTTTCATGCAACCCTCTATAAGATTCTAAATAGAGCCTAAAACTAATTTTCTAGCCACAGTAATAATACTTATCTCAAATACATGTTAGCCTGGGAGGAGATTTTTTTCAAGATATCCAAGTATTACATGTCCACATTTGTATTAAACTAGCTTGCTTTCTCTATTCTTTCTTTTTTATATCCTTTCATAAGATTTTCTAAATTGTGTATCCAGTGAAAAGAAATTCTTTGCAAATCTTCCCTGAAAAAAGCAACCAAATCATTATCTTGTCAGATGAATCATTTAGCTTCTGACAGACATGGGGTTCACCCCTAAAAAGTCCCATTGATGCCATTTGTCC